CTAGTCGTGAAGTTATATCTATCACCTAGGAAATGAGCACGACTCCACTTACACACATCAGCCTTTTGCAAATAATTATATAGTTGAGGATTCAAAGCTTGAATCTGTGCATAGTAGGCATTGAACTCTGCTACCGTATATGCTCTAGCAGCCTTTTTCACTCGGCCGAATGTTTCTCCCCCTCTGAATCTCAACAAAATGTTCTTATACAAGTGATATGTGCAAATACCACGGTTTGCTAGGGGGTACACATTTCCTATGGCCTTTCCTATAGCTAGACCTTCATCATCTGGAATGACACGGTGAAGTTGTCTAAAGAACCATTCCCAAGACTCATCATTCTCAGTATCTACAACACCAAACGCTATTGGAAATATATTAAATTTTTATCTTGGGTTGTTGCGAGTAGTAGTGTACCTCTTATTTTTCCCGTGCAAGAACGTGCCATCTACCACAACAATTTTCCTCATGTATGGGAACCCGAAAATGCTTGCAGCAAACGCGACGAACATAAACTTGAACCGATATTCATCGTCGACATCAAGCTTTATAAGTGTCCCCGGATTAGCTCGCCTAATCATGTATAAGTAAGATGGCAGTTCTTCATACCCACTTTCCGAAGTTCCAGAAACTAATTGTCGTGCATATTGTAGAGCCGATGTGCTTTCCAGTAATCAACCTGTAGAAAGAGAAACCCAACATAAATCTACCACCACACGTAAATCTACGTAAATAACTCTACCACCTTAAATAAATTTACCACCATAAATCTACCATCACATCACCGGGGTACAAAAATCTACGTTATCAAATCTACCACCTCAAAGTGTACATAAATCTACCGGAATCCATAAATCAGAACATACCCATACCCTTACCTTAATTCCAAATCGTTTTGTCAGCCCATCGGAGACATGGTTTGGCAATACAGAAAGTTCAACACCACCGACAAAGTCTTTATAGAGACGTCCTAGAATCTGGTAAGTGGCATGGCGGGTACGAAGTGATCGGACAGTTATAGAACAGGTGTGCTTGCTAACGTAAGTCTTAATGTAGAAGATTGAACCATCACCTACAGTTGAAGCACGAACTCGCCATGCACATCCTTGAACCCAGCATGACGATTCTCTCCATCTGAACCAAATTCATCGGGAGTTTTTGATTTAATCTCAACACACATGTAAATCCGATCTTCTTTCAATTGCTCGAAAAACCCGTTCAACTGTCTATTATTTGCCACAAATACAGGAGGTGTATCATGTGGTAATCTTTGCAGTACCTCTTTGGACAACATGTAGCTTAATTGCACATCTTGATTTCGCGGATCCAAACCAAAATCTTCAAACACCATTCCCAGAAATCCAGCGAAAGAGGTTTCTTCATGTACCCGCAATATTCGGCATCCCTTTCCCTTATCTATGCCAAACTTCCATTGATTATTGTGAAAATTCCATTTTCCACAAACCAAAATAACTTGTTCCATTGATTTAAAATGACCAAGACCTTCATAAACCAGCTAAACAGAAATCGAAATAAGAATTTAATAGAGGAAGAACAAAAAGAAGATCGACACTTTAGTTTCAATGGTCGAACCAGATGGAGAAAAGATGGAGGCGGCGATAACATAGAGTGGGTGAGGAAGATAATGTGATGTGTGACCCAAATTTTTTGTTAATTATTTATTTTTATTTTTTTGGTATTAAAAACCCTTTACTTTACTAGTCCTCTTCTTCCAACTAACTCTTCTACTTCCACCACCGACTCAGTCTCTGTCCAGGCACTCCGCCTTCTAACTCACTCTACCCAACGTCGGCAAGTCGACTCTACTCGAATCCGAGACTGCCAACTCTCGTCGGTAAGTATTCCGCTTTCTCTTCCTTTTCATCCGCCAAATATCTCAACTTCTGTGGCGAGTTCACATCTGTTGTAGGTTATAGTTAGAGATTATCGTCAAATCACTTTGTCTGAGGTTGTGTGGTACTTATACAAGGCCTCTTGCTGGTAGATTTACGTTAATTCTAGGTCTGTTAATAAGCCGTTGTGGTAGATTTATAATTTTTGCACGATCATTTTTAATCTTTTGTGGTAGATATACTTGGTTAGTTGATGGAAGATTTATTTTATCTGCAGTTCTGACTTTATACGCTTCTCTATACTCTCTATGTTTCAGCGTAAAATGGAAACAAATGATGGACTCCACCAAATAAGAGACCTACTCGGGCCGATTCTTCAGAGAGTGGGACGAGTTTCTGCTAAGGACGCATGTCGTGCAGCATGTGCGTCAAAACAACTCAACACAACATTAAAGGAACCATCTGTAATGCAAGCACTAAACCTATCAGAGTTTATTGCTGATACAACTTTGGTCCAACGATATCCTTACTTCTTCAATTTGGCTCTCTCATCAGACAATCCTCATGCATTATACCTGCACGGGATGAGAACAATAGCTATAGACAACGACGTTGAAAATTCGCTCAGATTTTTCAACAAGGCTTCCAAAGTCGGGATAGACCAAGCAACATTGATGGTCGCTGTTATCGCAACCGCATATGGCCACTATCCAACTGCAATGGAGATGTTGGAAAGAGTTGTAGGTTGGAGATCACGCATGCACTACATGATCGAACTAGGTGAAGAGGTTTCTCGAACCAAGATGGGAATGCAGAGTGCTACTGCAGATCTGTTGCCCAATGTTTTCAAAGTAGAAGAATTTCCAAGCTGCAGGTTCAAACACCCATTAATGTGTTGCCACGAGTGCTACCTTTTTCTTCAGTACCAACTGCTTAGATTTCAGTTTTAATAGCGTCTATTTTCTACTATGGATCACTTTATCTATCTCTATGCACTTTGTTCGTTGAACATCTCTAAGTACTTTCTTTCTTTAAGAACTTCTTCTCTATGTACTTTCTATAAAATTTTGAAATGTAATGAACGAGTCTTCAACAATCGCAATAGAGGTTGAATCTCTTCACTGCAATATTCACATTCTTATCACGTCCAAAATCAACATCCCACTGATCAACATTTGATTTTAACGTTCTTCACCGTTCAGTACCCCATGAAAATTCTACCACTACGTAATCACGATCTGTGAAAAAGTCAACTATCTACCAGCACATAATAAGTCTACCACCACCTAAAACGATAAATTTACCAATGATGTTATTCTGGTAATTATGGAAAATATAAATCTACCACTACGAAAATAAAGTAAATCTACCACAACAGCAAAATAACTCTACCAGGATTCGTTGGCACTATAAACTCTACCATCAACAAAATAACTCTACCACCAAGTAAATACAAAATAGGAGTAACAAAAATCTACCACCACAAATATTAAGTCTACCAAATGAAAATAAATCTACCATTCCCAAAAATAAATCTACCGCCATACAAAGTCAATGAACGTAAAAAAGTCAACCAATCACCTTCTGGTAGGGTCGGAAAAAAAAAATCTTTCACAACATATTTTTAAGTCTACCAAGTTCCCCAACAAATCTACCGTTCAAGAAACAACTCTACCATTCCCAAAAAATCTACTGCGTCATAACCACTTCAGCGTCAACAACAAGTCTACCACACGAAACAAATCTACCAACCGTTGACCAGACGAAACAAATCTACCGTCAAACAACTCGTTGACGTGGCAAATGAAAAGTAATGGCACAATCGTAAATACCGTTTTTGTTATCAAAGGCTCTAAGGGTATAATCGGTATGCTAAATTAGTTCAGTAATTAAAACAAATTTCAACTATTCTAGCAAATAGATCTATTTAAAAGAGTATTATAGTAATCCTCCTTTTTATTTTATTTGTATTTTTGAGTCTTTGACACAAACTATCATTAAATTTTATTAATCAATAAAAAAGGGATGATGGCACAAAGATGCTTACATCACTCTCACACTCTTCCTTTTATAGCATTGCATTTTTTATATCCATCCTTATTAAATTACATATTTTAATAGTAAAAACTAAAGACCAATTTATTTATACTTTAATAGCATTGCCATTTTACAACATTATATGTTCTTTTCACACCTTTTTTTAATAGAAAATGTTCTTTTCACATTTTCATTCTCAAGGTCTCACCCTTATATATAATTTTCTGTTTTCAAAATTAGTTAGTTTAAATCGTATAGGTTAATATTACTGATTAATATATGGTTTTGGATTAAGTTTATGCAAAAAAAAAAAATCCACGTAACTAAGACAATCCGCCGAAAAAATAGTTTAAGTCTCAGTAAACTAGTATTATATTGCGTATAATGTTCAAATGTCCACGGATAATTGATAATTTGATACTGTACATTTTTTTTTTAACTATAATTACTACGTTAAAGAAATGGCGTAATTATTTCACAATTAAAGTTGCACGTCGTCCTATCACTATCCAACTTTAAACCGTACAATTACACTTTCACCAAGTTATTCCAACAGAATGGAGCAAATACAAGTTATGTATTGATTAAGATCTATTACTTGACAGCCAAGGTTTACGGAGACAAGTAAAAGCCGTACGTAGTGCTGAAAATAAAGAGTAAGGTCTGGTTTTGCTTTCTTGATCATATTCATAGAAAACAAAACAAATCCGAAATTGGGTTCTTTAGTTCTCAAAAATATACATCCTTGTTGTGTCGCCGAGTGGCCGAACAAGTGCTTGTTATTGAACACGTTTTTAAAAATCTCCGTCTTAGTCCAGATGTTTCTGTCAGTATCGAAAGTTCGATCTTTAATCAATTCCACTTAATTTTTTGAATTGTTACAAGTTTACAAACTTACATCATATATATGGCGTATTCGGCAACAACAAATAAAATAATAAACATCGCATACTTGGATTACAAGAAAAAGAGAATCATTTGACTTGTTTATTATTTTTTTGTCAAACATCATTTGACTTGTTTATTTTATTAGTCAATTTAGCCAACGTGGATGCTATAGCGCACTAAGTATAAACACCCTCCTTATTTTCATATACGTACCAGGGAACGATGAATATATACTCTCCGATTGAGGAACATCAAGTGTTCTTGAACTACCGAGGAGAGGAACTGCGTTACAGCTTTGTGAGTCATCTCATTGATGCCTTTGAGAGGCGTGGAATCGACTTCGTCGTAGACATATACGAGCAGAGAGGCAAAGATCTCAAAAATCTTTTTGTAAGGATCCAAGAGTCGAGGATCGTGCTTGCCATATTCTCTACCAGGTTTGTGTACTATTCTTTCACTCTTAGGTCATGATCAATATGGATTACCTTAAGATACAAGAAATGAGTTGATTTATAGGTATGCTGAGTCGAGCTGGTGTATGGATGAGTTGGTGAAGATTAAGAAACTTGCGGATAAAGAAAAGCTTCGAGTCATCTCAATCTTCTACAAGGTGAGACCACGAGACGTGAGAAAACAGACGGGTGAGTTTGGTGACAACTTCTGGACGCTCGCGAGAGCTTCTAGTGGAGATCAGATCAAGAAGTGGAAAGATGCTCTGGAACGTATCTGCGACAAGATGGGTTTGTCCTTGGGAGACAAGAGGTACATTCCAAATGACACTCCCTGTTATAGACATTTTATGAATTGAGGTATACTTTTATTGCAGCTGTGAAGCTGGTTTTGTCAAGAAAATTGTTGAGGAGGTTCAAAAAGTTATAGCAGCAATTCGAATCGGTGAAAAAGAAGATGATTTTGGGAAAAAAAGGAAAAATAATTGCAGTTGCGAATGTGAGATTCCCATTTTCAAAAGGTGCAAAACCAGAAAATTGTTGTGACGTAATTAAATATTCTTTGATTTGTGTTGATGTATTCTTTCTTATTCTTTTTTATAGTTGTGTAATTATCAAAGGTACTTTTTTGTATATGTTGCACATTGACTATCAATGAATTTAGATCTCTATTGTGAAATTGACTATGGGAGTCTAAGAACTTGGGAAATACTTAGTGACGAATTGTTAGATTTACTGACAATTTATATATCCAACTTCAGTTGAAGAAGATGGCAAAATATGAATTTATCCTGGCGGTGTTTCAAAACACCTGATATGATAACACTAACACTCAATGATACCTGGAAATGGTTAAACATTCAACCTCTGGAATAATCCTTGGAAATGTTAAGAGTCTCTGCCAGATTCCCCTGCAATGAACAGTCAAAATCAAGTTTCTGCTTCAAGACAAATCTATGATGAAGTTGCGCAAACCGATCCCAGTGGTCAGTTGGCACCGAGTTGTCTGGTCCAAAGCATAAAACACTCACCTAGAATCTAGATGATGCTCTTAAACCGTTGGATAAGCTTATCTCCTGGGGTCTTCTTGATCTTACTCTAAACTCTGCAATCAAGCGCCAAGACAAATTAATCAACCCCTAGTTTGGTTTGGACCATGGGCTTTTAACTAGTTTGGGCTTATTTACAAGATATTCACATTTTTCGGAAGAAATCACATTTTCAGATATTCAACTCTGGCGGCTTCTGCCTACATACATAATAAAATCGAGGCAACACAGCAAATAAGAGTAAACATTAAAATCCAGCACATACTTATAGTATATCAAATGTCTAGTTAGAACGAAAATGAACAATATATTCACCGCGATCAACGAGATTAAACAATCTATGTAATTATTAGAGTAGAAAAGAATGAATGATTTAACGAAATTTTTGTTTTGCAATAAAAGCTTACGTACCTAACTTTGTCATCAGATCTCATGCATTAATACATGCAAGGATAATGAACCCCAAATTTTAAAAAGCGTGATATAAATATTGAAACAAATCTCCTCGACATCAAATGTCAAGCGCGAAGGCACGAGCCGCATGAGCATAGAGAAAGATTAAAATAATTGAAAAGATAAGGCTAGTACGAGAGGCACGAGATCAACTTCTTCGTAGACAAATACGAGCAGAGAGGCAAAGATCTCAAGAATCTCTTTGTAAGAATCAAAGAATCGAGAATCTTCTCTACCAGGTCTTGTATATATGTTATTTCTTAATTACTTATTATGTATCTACTTGAGAACATTCGAGAATCATCCCAATCTTCTACAAAGTTAGGGCAAGAGACGTTAGGAAACAGACAGGTGAGTTTGGTGAAAAATTTTGGACGCTAGCGAAGGCTTCTAGTGGAGCTCAGATCAAGAAGTGGAAGGAGGCCTTGGAGTGTATCTCCGACAAGATGGGTTTGTCGTTGAGAGACAAGTGGTACTTCCACTCACACTCATCACATTCTTCTTCTTCTTCTTGATCTTTTTATATACTTCAATTTAAACCACAAAATGGAAGTTCAAAATGTAAAGGACATTGTATGAAATCAAGTATAATTTTTTGGCAGCTCTGAAGCCGATTTTGTCAAGGAAGTTGTCAAGGAGGTCAAGAGAGTTATAGCAGCAATTGGATTAGAGGAAGAAGAAATAAATCGTATGTTTGTTTCAGAATTATCATCAATTGTTGGGACGTAGACATGAACCAGAGACTCACCTTCATGGAGATCCTCAAGAAGCTGACTGAGAAGAACAAGGAAACTTTGCCCTCTGATCAATGTACGGCTTATTCACTTGATAACAACACAAATCACAAATTCTGAAAACCAGAGATCATCAATAACCATCACAAAAAGTTTTATCCTTTTTAGAAAATGAATTCAGTTGTATGCTCAAAGCGATGGCTTCTCTCTATTGGTCTTTTACTACTTAGATGAGTTTCTTCCTCTGAAAGAAAGTTTTCAAGTGCCAAAATTGGAGACCAGCCACGACGAGATGTTTTATAAATACGATGTGCCATCTACAGAAACACAACATCAAGAACGTCCTTAAACACAATCTAACAATACCCTTTGAGTAACCAAGATACTGATTCAATTCATTTTCCAAAGTAAAACACACAGAATAAATTAATATCTTATTGCGATTTCACTAACTAAAGACTAAAGATTGGAAAAAAAAACGGATGCACTTACCTCGACTTGACTTTTCTTGGCTAGTTTTGACCAATCCTTGGAGTGAGCAGAGTGAACACCGGACCTCCAATCAAAATCAACGGTCAACGTCGTCTTCGACTTATGAGCAACGGCGGAGGTGCACGTATAGTGAGTCCCGGTCTCGAATGCAGTAAACGAGAACTGCCCTGCCTCCACATTATCGGCTTCGTGCTTCATCTACAATCATATCACAAGAGACGGAAAAACTCGAAATCAACCGACGTAGAATTTCTCACGAATCGAGAGAGATCGGTGTTTAAATTTTTTACCGGTGTGTTTACGTACCTTGACGGTGATTTTGTGGGAATCAGGAAGAAGATGACCTTCGTTAGGGTTTACGAGGAAGTATTTGCCAACGCTTATGGAGTTTGCGTGAGTATCCTCAGAGATGCATTTCGTTTGCCCAGAGTGAAGCTCGTATCGCATTGTTGGTGTTCTGGGAGACAACAGTGTAAGGGATCAAAATCAATATCGTATTGTGATTTGATTTGTTCTTTTAAATTTCAAATCAAGAAGTATGGGCGTTATACTTTTTCCAAGTTTCCAAAGTCATTAAAAAATATTTCTGAAGACGTTGACAAAAGTTTTCGAAAGCCTGGTCTATATCATTACTGCTTTGAGGCTGGGACCGATGGATATTAAAAACTGGTCAATGGTCAATGGAATGCCTCATCTATGATCAGATAAGCTAATTCCATTACTCCGTAATTTCAGGCATTATCTTCAAAGCGCAGGACTAAGTTTTAAAACAAGAGATTGATTAAAGTCTCCTAAGTACTTTGATATGTTTTGTAAGCCGTTTTCTTTTGTGAGCTTCTTTTTTAATTACATGTGGTTAATTAGATCATCCACGTTGCCTAGGCTCTCGTGAGATACTCTATATATTAATTAAACTAGAGATGTTTCCGCGCTACGCGCGGATTGTTTTTATATAGATATTTGATTATTATTTAAGTTAAATTATTTTCACTTTAAGTTAATATTTTAAATATAATATTTAATTTTTAAAATTGTTTTGATATGATTATACATCAAAAATATTTTAACGTATTCAAAAAATGTATCATGATATAATTTTAAGAATTACCTACTTGATATATGCTAAAATTAACTGTTAAACTCAATGTTATTCACTACTAACTTTCAAAATATTATTAAAATTATTTTTGTTTTGACTAAATTTGTTTATTATTGTTCCAATTAATTTAGATTATTATATTTATTTCAACTGTGTTCGTGTAGTGTTTTTATTTAATTAGCAATCTCAAATACAAACAACACTCAATATTCTAATCTCTTATAAATCTATAAAATAACTATGATTCATATAAATAAAAATAATAATATTTACATAGTATAAAAAAAATCACAATCATATTGATAAAATGCAATTTTGATTTGGTCTATGAAGTACACGTACACTATAAAAAATATAGATGAATAAGGCAAGTAATACATATACAAATACAATTTCATACTAACTCATTATGTTAAATAAAGTATGTTGAGTTTCTCAAAACTCAAAAGATGTAAAAATTTTTGCTTGTAGTTTAACTTAAACATTTTTTCTTAAACTACACATATATATTTTGATGAGCCTTTATAATTAAACTAATAGTATATATTATATTATTTTTAAAAAAGTTTCTTAACCCAGTAAAAAAAAAAAACATATTAGTTTTTCATTCAAGTTGGGTTTATAAGGAATTTTGTTGATGTGGATAATTAGAGATTTTTTTAGACATTTTCTTCTACATAAAAATGTGTATGTTATTTTTTCAAAAATGCATTATTATTTAATTTAAAAATTTACTAACTTGATATATATAAAAATTAACTGTCATCTAAAACATAATTTTTGTTTATAAACTGTTTAACTCATGTGTTGACATGTATCGCTTGTAGTAACTTGACTACCTTAAGCCAACTAAGACACACATTGAATAAATATCAGTGCATGAAATTCTTCTTATGTCTATCATTTTCTGCAATGTAAATAGTAACGATGATCAAAATCTTCATATAGATAAATGCTTTGAAAAGCTTCCTATAATTTCTGTTGTCTTGTTGGTTGCCTTAAATCTAACGTACTATGATGTTTAATCTGTATGTTTCTAAAAGGTGAATGTTTTAGATTTTTATAATTTGTAAATATTTTAAATTTTATTTTAGAAATTATTATTTTGTAATCTTGTTTCTATTAACTATTATTTTTTTTTAGAGCAATTTGTTGTCTAATATATTCACTATATTACAAAAAGGAGTATATATTAATGCTACAGATTTAAATGATATTTATTTTACCGATTTAGAAAATGATATTTAGTTTTATTTACCTATTCCTAATAACTATATTAACTTAGTGGTTCTATTTATTTATTTTATGTGTATTTCAAAAGATATAAAGTGAAATTTTTTATTATTGTTATATTACAAACAAAAGAAGTATATATTGATGCTATAAATTTAAATGATGTTTATTTTACTGATTTAATATTTTAATTTTATTTACTTTTGTTGGTAACTATATTAATTTTAGTGACAAAAATGAGTATATATTAATGCTACAGATTTAAATAATATTTATTTTACTGATTAAAATGATATATAGTTTTATTTAGTTTTCGCTAATAACTATATTAATTTAATGGTTCTATTTATTTATTTTATGTGTATTTTAAAAAATCTAAAGTGAGAATTTTCATTATTGTTAATTTGTTATATTACAAATAAAAGAGTATATATTGATGCTATAGATTTAAATAATATTTATTTTACTGATTCAAAAAATAATATTTTATTTTTATTTACTCTTGTATTTAACTATATTAATTTTGGTTCTATTTATTTACTTTATGTGTATTTCAAAAAAATTTAAAGTGGGAATTTGTATTATTATTTTTTGCTGATGTGTCATATTTTTAAAGTAGTTTGAAAAGCTGAGGTGGATAGCTTAAGGAGCCCCAAATAGTTCCTTTTATTTAGTATAGATATTAAATCAACTAGGAAAAGGGACCCTGCTTTGAGAGGTTAATTGGCTGTATATTAAAAATTAAATTAAAATTTATTTAAAATAATTATAAGTAAAAACATAAAATAAAAATTAATAATAAAAAATATAAACATCCAAAATAATTTATAATAATTAAGATAAAAAATTATATATATTTTAATTATTAACAATAAGTTCTAAAAGGAAATATACAAACTAATTAAGATAAAAAATGATTACTACTAATTATTAATAGAAAAAATAAAAAATAATAAGATATACAAATTTTTAAATATGAAAATATACAATCTGAAAGTATAATATATATATGCAATTTTTAAACTATTTTATAATTATTAAAAAATTCATATTCACAAAAAAGTGTAAAACAAAAAGTAAATATATAAGCAATCTTTCAATAATAAATCCACTATAGTAAGAAAGTAAAAGTTAGACCCAATTGACTTTTTTCTGTGGTTTTAAACAGTATAAATAGCTTTGAAAAGACACAAATAACAGTTATGATGGAAAAAAGCAACCATTTATAGTGCAAAGACGCAACCATAAATTTTGAAACGACACAACTTTTAAAGTGCAAATGACATTTATTTGGATTATTATTATAGGTGGAGTGGTTTTTTATGTGATTTGAATTATATAAATAATTCGAATAGACCCAAATTATCTGTGATGAAAAAATGCAACCATTAATAATGTAAAAATACAATCATTTATAATGAAAAATACAAATATTTATATTGAAAGTATGCATCCATAAACTTTGAAACCACACAACTTATCAAAATGCAAATAGTCTTTCCAAACACAACCCTTAAATTATTAGATTTGATGTTATAAAAAAGAATGTTGACCTTAATTAAAAACTTTCATTATTTCAAAGTTTATTATAATAATATATTCACTATAGTAAAAAAAATAAAAGTTAGACCTAAATAATTTTTTTATGTGATTTTGAACAATATAAATTGTTTTGATAAGACACAAATAACAGTTGTGATGAAAAAAACGTAATTATTTATAATGAAAAGAGCAACCATTTATAATGAAAAGAAGCAACATTTATAATGAAAAGACGCAACCACAAATTTTGAAACGACAAAACATTGTAAAGGGTAAGTGGTATTTATTCATATATTTATGTTTTGCAAGTGACATTTATTCGGATAGTTACCAGTCTTGTCACCGGTCACCATCATAGTAAGAATCAGACTCAAATAATTATTATAAATAGATAAAACATACATTAAAAAAATTTTAAAAAAATATTTGGCTTAGTAGAAAGAAAACACAACCCTTGAATTATTAGATTTTATATCATATAAAAGAATGCTGACATAAAAAGCTTTCATTATTTCACAATTTATTATAATAATAAACTCATTATAATAAGAAAATAAAAGTTAAACCTAATAAACTTATGATAGTAAGAAAATAAAAATTATACCCAAATAAACTTTTTCTGTGGTTTTGACCGATATAAATAGTTTTGAAAAGACACAAATTATAGTTAACAAAAAGACACAACCATTGATAATGAAAAGACGCAACCACAAATTTTAGAAAGACACAACTTTTCGAAGTGCAATTGACATTTATTCAGATTGTTATTATATATAGATATATATATATATTAATTTAATTTATATTTTAATTATGAGTATTTCAAAATATTGAGAGACTCTTTCCAAAGTTTCTTATTTGAATGATTTTGAAGTGAATCTATCAACATTTTAAAAGACTGATGATTAAAATATTAATTAAATCAATATATACAATTAATATATAGAATTTTTATGAGAGACTACTAATGCAATGCTCTTAGATAACTATTAATTTCGGGACTCGTCTAGATGATCTTCTGGTAGAGGATTCTCGTGTTGTCACTTGTCGGAGTCAGATTATCTCTGAAAAAAATTAAAATTTGATGCAGTTGGTCACTCGGCACGTGACAGGCCGGCCCTGCAATTCTTTTTGTTGTAAACATTATTTGACTTGTTTATTATTTTTTGTCAAACATCATTTGACTTGTTTATTTATAGTCAATTTAGCCAACGTATATAAGAGAGAATTTATAGCATTACAAAGGACAAACACCCGCTTTTGGTTTTTAATTCCATACGTATTGTGGAACGATGAAAATGTCTTCTTCCACTGAGACACATCAAGTGTTCTTGAACTACCGAGGAGAGGAACTGCGTTATAGCTTCGTCAGTCATCTCACTGATGCCTTTGAAAGGCGTGGAATCGACTTCTTCGTAGACAAATACGAGCAGAGAGGCAAAGATCTCAAAAATCTCTTTGTAAGAATCAAAGAGTCGAGGATCGCGCTTGCCATATTCTCTACCAGGTTTATTCACTATTCTTTCACTCTAGGTCATGATCAGTATGGATTACCATAAAATAAAAGAAATGAGTTGATTTATAGGTATGCTGAGTCGAGCTGGTGTATGGATGAGTTGGTGAAGATGAAGAAGCTTGCGGATAAAGAAAAGCTCCAAGTCATTCCAATCTTCTACAAGGTGAGAGTACAAGACGTGAGAAAACAGACAGGTGAGTTTGGTGACAACTTCTGGACGCTCGCGAAAGCTTCTAGTGGAGATCAGATCAAGAAGTGGAAAGATGCTCTTGAATGTATCTCCGACAAGATGGGTTTGTCCTTGGGAGACAAGAGGTACTTAGTTTCCAAATCACATTCCCTGTTCTTGTCATTTTTTATGAATTGAGGTATATATACTTTTATGGCAGCTGTGAAGCTGGTTTTGTCAAGAAAATTGTTGAGGCGGTTGAAAATGTTATAGCAGCAATTGGAATCGATGGCAAAGAAAATCATTTTGGGATAAAAAGGAAAAAGGATTGCAGTTGCGAATGTGAGCTTTCCATTTTCAAAAGGTGCAAAATCAAAAAAGTTGTGATGTACATGTAAATAAAAAATTTTGATTTGTGTTGATGTAATCTTTCTTATTCTTTTTTTGGTTTTTATGTTAAGATAATCTTTCTTATTCTTTTGTATAGTTGTGCTATTATCATATGTGCTTTTTTGTATATGTTGCAGATTGGCTATCAAAGAATTTAGATCTCCATTGTGAAATTGAATATGGGAGTCTTAAGAACTTGGGGAATACTTGTTACGAATTGTTAAATTTACTGACGATATCCAACTTCAGTTGAAGAAGATGACATAATATGAGTTTATCCTTGCAGTATTTCAAAACAACTGATGTGATAACACTAACTCTCAATGAAATACCTGAAAATGGTGAAACATGCAACTTCTGGAATGAACCTTGGAAATGGTAAGAGTCTCTGCAAGAGGTGCCAGATTCCCTGCAATGGACAATAAAAATCAAGTTTCTGCTCAAGACAAATCTATGACGAAATTCGCGAACCAAGCCCAGTGATCAGTTGGCACCGAGTTGTCTGGTCCAAAACATACAAACACTCACCTGGATGATGTTCTTAATTAAACCGTTGGATAAGCTTATCTCATAAAGTCTACATTGTCTAACTCTTAACTCTGCTGCAATCAAGCGCCAATAATCACCCTCATGAGTGTTGTAGAATCGTGATGTAAATTAGATTAATAAATCAGTGTTTAAAAAAAAAAGAGACAATAATCACTCTCTAATTTGGTTTGGATCATGGATTTAACTAGTTTGGTTTTAAATGGGTTCTAAGTTTACTGGGCTTATTTACTAGAGTTTTGCTTAAATTGTAAAACAATGGTGAGTACTTTTGTTTATTTTAATTTTAATACAAGGAAATGTTATTTCATTAATTTCATTTCAATGAATTATCTATGTAGATGGTAAAGTTGTTGCTCAGATAAACTTTATTTTAAAAAATTGAATCATGCGTTTACAATCTTACATATACTGATGAACTTTTTTCCTTTTTTGGAGAAAAGGGTTTACCACGGATGATTTTTCTCATATTATAAATTATATTCACATGAATTTTGATCTAATGCTATCTACAGATGTAATCCGTGCGACCGTGGGAACTGGGACGTATCTAGTGATCATGCAATGAAGTAGGCAAGTCTTGACTTCTTCTTCTTTTTTTTTTTTTTTTTATAATCAAGCATAATCTCTTCCTAGCTCCCGGACTAGCCTTTGTTAATACCACTTTAGTATTTAGTTATTACATCTCTCACCGGCAGAACCGGCCCTGAGATTACAAGGGTTTGAAACAAAATAAAAAATGGGGACCACAATTTTTTATTTATAAAACTTTAATAAAAATAGTTTTAAATATAAAAATGTTAAACTTTTAGTAAAATACAAGTTTGTTTTTAAACAAACAATAAAAAAATTTCTTCTTTTATGTAAAAATTAATCTTCAATATGATTTCAACTACAAATTAAAAATTAATCTTAATAATAACTAAAAATATTGGTTAATTAAATTTAATTATCACTAAATATATTCTTTTTTAAAAATAATATTGACTTAAAAAAATAAAATTAATTATGGAAGAGCATATCTTAAATTAAATCCCACTAATTTCATTTTTTTTTCAACTCTTTCTTTATTTAAATAAAAATTCATAAAATTTTCATTTATTTAAATATATATATATTTTTTATAAAAAATAATAAAAGCCTTTTAGAAAAAAAAAATAGAGGCCTAAAACCAATGTTTCAATGGACTTTGCTCAAAACCAGCCCTATCCACCTAAAATTAAACTATGAGCACAACAGTACCAACACCTGCCCTTAAACCACTAGTCCACTTTATTCAGTGGTAAGTCTTTAACTCTTGAGGATGTTCACAATAAAAAAAACTGACAATGTTATCTAATGAAGGATAAAAGAGAGGAGATTCCACGTTGATCGGGAGTTTCGACAGTGTAAGCAAAATTCACTTGGTATCGGGACGATTCAAATCCCAATTTGACATCTCTTAATCTACAAACTTTAACCACTCTATAATTATCTTTGTAAATGACATATATCATGCCAAATTTGAATTTACTATGCCATAAATCATTCTGGCATTTACAGTATAATTATGATACAAGTGAATCAAGTGATTGATTGTAATTTTGTAAATATGAAAGTAAAGTTGTGCGGCTGTGTCTCGTTTGATTGTAAATATGAAAATAAAGGTTAAGTATCCGGAAATTACATGCCACTTTCTCTTCTAATTTTGGTAAAAAAAAAATATGAAAAGAATAAATTATTAATTAGTCATATTCACGAACCAGAAAAAAGGAAAGATTAACAATCTAAGGTTCAAAACAGAGAAAACCAAGACATGCATGAATACAAACCCAAAAAAAAGACTACAAGGCTAGGTTCAAAGTCGACCCAAGAAAACAGAGGCAACGAATGAATCTTGACAAACCCCAAAAGGTGACTACTATCGCATTATCGAATGGATAATAACAATATTTTTTTATGAAGAAATAGCATTTTTAGATATTCAACTCTGGCATCTGCAAACCATTGCCGCCGCCTTAAATAATAAAACAGAGGCAACCAGCTTTAGGTATTACATACGTTGTTATGATTTATGAAACAGTAACACAGCAAATAAGAGTAAACATTAAAAATCCAGCACATACTTATATCTCAGAAAAAAAGTTTTGCCTTGCCGTCTAAATATCTAACGCTAAATAAAAATGAGCATTCAAATTTATCAACAGAAACACAATACTAGCTATTAGAAATAGTATATCAATGTTTAGTTAGAAGTTAGAACGGTAATCTAATTTAATTGGGTTTATATTATGAAAGATGAACAATTTGTTTGCCGCGATCAACGAGATTAAACAAAATATGTAAATATTATAGTAGAAAAGAATGAATGGTTTTTGTGCAATCAAGCTTACGTACCTAACGTCATCAGATCTCATGCATTAACATTCAGATAATACATGTGATGATAATGAAATCCAAATTTTTAAAACGTGATATATTGAAACAAATCTCCTCGACATCAATTGTCAAGCGCGAAGGCACGAGCCGCATGACCACAAGAAAGATTAAAATAATTAAAAAGATAAAGCTAGTAAAAAAAACGAAGGAAAAGACAAGGCAAGCAAGACTTTTTTCCTCTTAAAAAAAAATTAAAAATCAGACTTTGACAAAGCATTTCACCGTTGGTTAGAATATTGGGAACGATTCGCTATTAGATAATATAAACATATATTAAACAGTGTGCAAGTTGCTAGACTCTTTCAAAGAAATCGTTCGCTTTGTTTTAGAGTGTGAAGTCGACCATATCCGTTTCTATAAGAAAACGAAATGCATCTGCATATCGAATATAGTTAAGTATTTAAGTCCAATAGACTCCCTTACCAATCAGAAAATCACATTTGTTCTTTAATATCTAGCATTGCTGCTCATTCCATAACTGTATACGTACCTCTTCAGTCGATCGATGAGAGTCTTCTCTCCCACTGAGGCACCTCAAGTGTTCTTCAATTATAGGGGAGAGCAACTGCGATACAGCTTCATTAGCCACCTCACTGATGCCTTTGAGAGGCACGGGATCAACTTTTTCGTGGACAAATACGAGCAGAGAGGCAAAGATCTCAAAAATCTCTTTGTAAGAATCCAAGAGTCGAGGATCGCACTGGCCGTCTTCTCTACCAGGTCTTGTCTATATCTTACTCTTACTTATTATGCATCTACTTCAGAATATTCAAGAATCGTCATCATTTTAATTATAGGTATGCGGAATCGAGCTGGTGCATGAACGAGTTGGTGAAGATGAAGAAACTTGCGGATCAAGGAAAGCTCCAAGTCATCCCAATCTTTTATAAAGTGAGTGCAAGAGACGTTAGGAAACAAACAGGTGAGTTTGGTGAAAACTTTTGGACGCTAGCGAAGGCTTCTAGTGGAGATCAGATCAAGAAGTGGAAAGAAGCCTTGGAGTGTATCTCCGACAAGATGGGTTTGTCGTTGAAAGACAAGTGGTACTTTCACTCACACTCATCACATTCTTCTACTTCTTCTTCTTGCTCTTTTATACTCTTCAATTAAAACCAGAGCATTGAAGTTTAAAATGTTAAGGACATTGTATGAAATAAAGTATACTTTTCTCGGCAGCTCTGAAGCCGAATTTATCAAGGAAGTTGTCAAGGAGGTCAAGAGAGTTATAGCAGCAATTGGATTAGAAGAAAAAGAAGAAAACCATTTTGGGGGAAAAGGAGAAAGCCTAAGAATTGCATTCTCCATGTGTGTTTGTTTCAGCATTATCATCAAATGTTTGGACGTAAACATGAACCAGAGACTCTCCTTCATGGAGATTCTCAAGAGAACTGAGAAGAACAAGGAATCTTTGCCATCTGATCAATGTGGCTTATCCAATTCATAACAACACATATCACAAATTCTGAAATCCCAGAGATCATCAATAACCATCACAAAAAGTGTATATCAATTAAGTTGTATGCTCAAGGCAATAGTTTCTCTCTAATGGTCTTTACTTACTTAGATGAGTTTCTTCTTCTGAAAGAAAGATTTCAAGTGCCAAAACTGGAGACCAGCAACAGATAAAGAAACACCGAGTGACAATAAACTCAACCAGGCCATCTTCGAGTTTGTAGATCTATTCAGTTCAAGCATGTCTTCTTCACTGATCATGCCACCAAACAAACAAGAAGATACAACGGTTTAATTAAGCTCACCATCTCGATCTCTTTCTTCAGACCAACATAAACTAAAGTAATTGTTCTTTGTCTATTTACCTTCTACGGAGATAAAACATCTCCTCGTGGATGGAATTAATAGTTTCGAATAAGCCCTTAACCGATAACTCCATCATCTACACAAAACACAACATCAAGACCCTTAAACACAATCTAAGGATTACAGAGACATACTGTTTCAATTCATGTTCCAAAGTAAACCACACATAATGAATTAATATCTAATTACGATTTGACTAACTAAAGACTAAAGATTGAATAAAAAAAAAACGGATGCACTTACCTCGACTTGACTCTTCTTGGCTAGTTTTGACCAATCCTTGGAGTGAGCAGAGTGAACACCAGACCTCCAATCAAAATCAACGGTCAACGTCGTCTCCGGCTTATGAGCAACGGCGGAGATGCACGTGTAGTGAGTCCCGGTCTCGAATGCAGTAAACGAGAACTGCCCTGCCTCCACATTATCGGCTTCGTGCTTCATCGTCGTCCCTTCTGCCGGCATCACCTACACTCATATCACAGCAGACGAATTAAAAAAACTCGAAATCAACCGACGTAGAAATTCTCACGAATCGTGAGAGATCGATGCTTTGAAATTTTTTTACCGGAGTGTTTACGTACCTTGACGGTGATTTTGTGGGAATCAGGAAGAGGATGTCCTTCGTTAGGGTTTACGATGAAGTATTTGCCGACGCTTATGGAGTTTGCGTGAGTATCCTCGGAGATGCATTTCGTTTGCCCGGAGCGAAGCTCGTATCGCATTGATAGTGTTCTGGGAGACAACAGTGTAAGGATCAAAATCAATATCGAGCTCTTACGAAGATCCATGGCCGCACCAGAGAGAGAGAGAGAGAGAGAGATCTTTGCAGTATTCAAAGTTTATGGCCGTTTCGGGAAGATGCCAGAGAGACAAAAGAGAGTCAAAGCGTTATACGCCACGTGTGATTATTTAATTCGTTGGAACACGTGAATAAATGATCACATATTGTAGTAATTTTTACTTTCCCATTTTTGCCGCCAGTAATTTATGGGCTAATATAAAACACCTCTCGGCCCAAATATTTTTCGAAGGTAACTAAAAAGGTTATGTATAATGTAATAAGTCTTGAACGGCCCATTTGGTATTTTATTTAGTAAATAAATCTACTACATATTATTTGAGAAGTAACATTATTGAAAATTACTTATTTGTCAACACTACAATCAAAGTTAGTGCTTTTAATTGATGACATGTAAATGTGACATGTCAAACTTCCTAAAATAAACGAAATATTTTGATTGGTTGAATTAAAATTATAAAAATTGTGGAATTAAAACATTAATAAACTAAATTATATTTACAACACTAAAATTAACAAATTTAAGTTAACAGAAAATAAAAGCTATTATAATTTTAGTTTTTTACATATATTCATAATTTCATAAAAAAATAATTACGTAATTTTTTCAACAATATATATATATATTATAATTTCATATAAAATAAAAAATAATATTAAATTATCCAATAGAATAGTAAAAATTCTATTTATTAATAATACTTTAAGTATGATATATTTTTATTTCGGAAAGTTATTAATTAAATCTAAAAAAATTTTAAATAAACAAATTATTAAATAATACAATTTTAAATAAAATACAATCATGATAAAAAATAATTTAAAGAATAAAATGTTAAAAATAATAAAATAAATAACTTTTATTGATTTTTTTTTAAAAAACGTAATTTAAAAAAAAATTTCAAACCAATATTTACTAAATGAATAAAGTATATACTAATTATTATTTTATAATATTAATAGGACCATATATTTTTCTATAACTTTTACTATCTTTTTATTGTTGTTTTATAATATGTGCATAACTTATGTTACCATCTCATCTTATATCTTATCATATTTTAAATAAAAATAAAATTTTATATCATATTAATATATATATATATACATAATTTTGTTTTCATTGTATATCAAAATTTTGAGATCATAAATGAATTAAAAAATAACCGAACGAAAGAATAAGTTATAATAAGATGAAACAATATGAATAATAGATAAAAATAGAAATATATAAAAATAAATCTCTCGTCATTTGTTTTACATAGTCACTTAAAATAATTTTAACACGTACGAGCCATAGTTCAATTTTTTTACAAATACGTGTACACATATAAATATTAGTTGTACATTAGTTGAAGTCACATGCGAACTTTTTTGTGCATGTATTTTGTTAAGATTGATTACAGTCTAATTTTTATTTTAATTATTATCCAATTTATATTTTTTTAAAAATTTTTATTATTCTAAGTGTAGTAAAGTGATTGGTATGCCCGCACATGCGTGCCAACCATCTATCCACTTTTAGGAATAAGTAAAAATGGTAAAAATTATTTCAGTTTAATTTGCAATAAATCAAGAAAAATATATACTTAAAATATATTATATATGTATTTACAAACTTATATTATGTAAGATGCAAAAAAGCATATTGTAGATTGTGTAAGGAGAAATAAAGCATATTAATATTATAAGAATTTAGTTATTATTTAACATAACTTTTATATTTGTGATTATATACTATTACAAGCATTATAAAAATAAAAAATTTTAAAATACATTAATTTCAGAAAGAAGTTAGTGAAATATTAAAACAATATATATATATATATATATAAACATACAAATATTTAAAATTTAAATATTATAATTAACTATGTATATGAAAAAAATTATATCTGTACATATATACGGGCCAATCACCTTAGTATATTGTAAACAAGAATTTCGCTGAGTTTTTTTTGATGGACCAGCTAATTACAGTAAGCCTATATTTTTAGGGAGCCCGTGTATACAACCCATAAATAATCATGTGAGCATATTGTTGCTAAATGATCGTAAAGTGAACTAAAGTGATCTGTTGTGTTGTTTCACACTCGATTAGTTAAATAATACTAACATGAAGTTAATAATGACTTTAATTTTTTTAAATACCGGCAGAGATGATGAGACAGACCAGAGAGAGCGGAAGAGAGAGTGTGTGTGAAAAACAAATGCGATCGTTCTGTTCGGATTTTAATGTTTCTTTTACGAAATTCCAGATTTTTGGAAGATTCCTTTCATTTGTGATTTGTGAAAAATATTCTTCCAAGTAGGTGATTTTCTCGGGAAATTTTCGATGTTACTCTCACGGGCAATATAATAACACAAAATCTTTGAACGGTCGTATCTGTTTTTTTTGTCAGCATTTGTTTTGCATTCATTTTCCCACCGTTTCCTCCCTCGCGGGTCGCGATCCTTCGTTCCTCGTCCCTTTTTTTTTGGGATCTCTCAGTTATTTCTTACTTTACCGGAAAAATCCTCAGGTATTGAAACATTCAAGGGGCAAAATCAAGCTGTTTCGTCATCTAATTCGAAAATCCCACGAAAAATCGATATCACAGTATTCTCGATTTTCAGGGCTAACAATTTTCTCCGATGAAGCGGCGATGAAGGTCGTCGGAGATAGATGGAAATTAGATCGGAGAATAATCAGGCACGGAGTGATAATAAGCCTCCGGTTCAAGCCGTTCCCAAAACTCGGTTAAGAGTCTGGTTCGTCAGCGTCTGCTTGAGCATTTTGATTTGGACTTTCTTGATTCAGCTCTTCGCTACCAGCGAGCTTAGGCATTCCCGGATCTTCACCGGTTTAACCAATCAGGTTCCCCTGTTTCCTTCCCCCGTCGAGCCAATTCAATCGCCGCCTCCTTACCCTCCCCGAAGTCAGTTTTGTCTTCGACTATTTTCCGATCAGGGCTCATATTTCTCAGCCTATTCGGTGCTTGAGGGTTTTTAGAAAAGTAAATCACGTTTTGCAGGAAACTATACAAGCAATGGGATTCTACGAGTGTCCTGTAATGGCGGTCTGAATCAAATGCGTGCAGCGGTTCGTCTCACTCTCACTCACTCTTTCTTTTGCCAATTCGGGTTGACATATTTTGAACGAAGCTTGTTGTTTCAGATTTGTGATATGGTGACTGTTGCTAGGCTATTGAACTTGACTCTTGTTGTTCCAGAGCTTGATAAGAAATCTTTCTGGGCTGATCCAAGGTATGTTTGTATGTGTGCTGTCTTGATAAGAAATTTTAGCTGAGGTTGTAATTTAAACCATCGGTTTACTTTATTCTGCAGTGACTTTGAGGACATTTTCGATGTAAAGCATTTCATTGGTTCGTTAAGAGACGAAGTTCGGATTTTAAGAAGGCTTCCGAAACGGTATAGCAAGAAACATGGACATAAAGTGTTCGAAATGCCGCCTGTGAGCTGGTCAAATGACAAATATTACTTGCAAAAGGTTAGTTTGCAACTTTTCTTCATATTTTTTTTCATTGCCTTGATGATCTGCGAGTTTTGGTTGATGGGGTTTTTTATTTTAGGTATTGCCGCGATTCAGAAAGCATAAAGTTATTCACTTCAATAGGAGCGATACAAGATTGGCGAACAATGGTCTTTCTCTCGATCTCCAAAGTCTGAGATGCCGAGTGAATTTCCAAGGACTTAGATTCACTCCACGTATTGAGGCTTTGGGATCGAAGCTAGTTCGGATTCTGCAACAAAGAGGGCCTTTTGTGGCTTTGCATTTGAGATATGAGATGGACATGCTGGCTTTCTCTGGTTGCACTCATGGCTGCACCGAGGAAGAAGCTGAAGAACTCAAAAAGATGAGGTAAAACATGTGTTTTTTAGCTTGGTGCTCTCCGTTTTGTAAATCTTGATTTCATGGTTCTCATCTTCTGTGTTCTTCTAGGTATGCATATCCATGGTGGAGAGAGAAAGAGATAGTCTCTGATGAGAGAAGGGTGCAAGGGCTTTGTCCATTGACACCAGAGGAGGCGGTTTTGGTTCTAAAAGCGTTGGGGTTTCAGAAGGACACACAGATTTACGTTGCAGCTGGTGAGATTTACGGTGGTGCGAAGAGATTAGCACTTCTAAAGGAATCATTTACAAGAATCGTGAGTTTTTGTCACACTTTCGAGCGTTCGTTATTATTACTTTTGAAAATGATGATGGTGACATGTGGGTTTCAGGTGAAAAAGGAAATGCTACTAGATCCAACGGAGCTGCAACAGTTTCAGAACCATTCATCTCAGATGGCAGCTCTAGATTTCATAGTATCTGTAGCCAGCAACACTTTTGTTCCTACTTACTATGGAAACATGGCAAAAGTTGTCGAAGGACATCGAAGGTACTTTGTATAATCAATATTCAACTCAAGCTTTTTATTAAAATTCTGAGCAAGAATCTTGATATGAGCATTTTCTTCTTGGAAAGATTTCTCGGGTTTAAGAAAACAATCCTGCTAAACCGGAAGAGACTTGTGGAGCTTTTGGATTTACATAACAACAAGACTATCTCTTGGGAACAGTTTGCAGTATCTGTGAAGGAGGCTCATGAGGGAAGACGCATGGGAGAACCAACACATCGGAAAGTAATCTTTGATAAACCAAAGGAAGAAGATTACTTCCATGCCAATCCTCAGGAATGTATCAGTGAAAATCCACTTTAACAGAGTTAATTAAGCTCCTTTTTTAATTATGCTAAAAGCAACTAGATCACTAACCACTAGAGCAGGATCTGATTAGTTTTTTGTTTCTTTTTTTATAGACCTTTAAAGATGTAACTAAAAGGGTTGTAACATCTTTATATCAGGAACTGGTATGAAAACCAAACCAGGTTTTAGCTAAATTACCTCTTGGACTAAGATTCCTTTCTTCTTGTAACAAAGCAAAGGACCGAACAATGGTTTATGTGTACCATACAACGGATCATCATTACTTTTCTCATTCATTCAAAAAATGTATTTTCAAAACCCAAATTGAGCGGGAGTAAGAAGAACATATCTATCGATTGGCCGGAGGTTTTTTTAAGAAACTCGCGCCTTACCAGTTGGTGTAATCAGAGGCACTGAGATACTCGCCATGCTCTTCAAAGTATTCGATCATACGTTTGAGAAACGCATCGCTGCTCACTGTCTCCGTATCGCAGATAAGACAACACTGTCTTCTAGAGCGAGTAACAGCCACATTCATTCGCCTTTGGTCCTTCAAAAACCCAACCTCGTTCTTCGAGTTCGACCTAACCATGGAGATGATGATAGCTTCTTTCTCTCGTCCTTGGAAACCATCCACCGTAGAGATCTCCATGTCCTTAAGCTTCTCTTCTTTGCCCCTAAGAATCCTAAGCACCATAACCTGAGCAGCGTAAGGCGTAATGATTCCAATATCAGAAGCCTGAACTCCACTCTGCATTAGTCTCCTGGCATGTGCCATCGCAACCTCTGCTTCACCTTCATTATACGTGCTCTCTTCCTCGTCTTTCTTCTCTTCCATGTCACACCCAGCGGAATCTACCAATAGCAGAGTCGCCTCCGTTGCAGAAGATTTCGCTACATTCTCCAAGTCAAAAAGCGCGTGCGAGGCAACACTTGAGTGCGCTCTTATCTTTCCATCGTAAAGCTCTTCGGATGACCAGTTCATAATCAGCTCATGCATACGATACTGTACAGTAAGCATGGACTTGATCTCATCTCCATAGAGATCCGCAAGCCGTTCAAAGAGTGTTATCCCTAACCCTTTCCTTTCAGCTTCAGCGCTTTGGATCGTTGGCGGGAGCTGGAGATGGTCTCCTGCAAGTATACATCTTGAACCCTTTAGCAGAGCGATCCAGCATGCAACCTCAAGAGCCTGTGCTCCTTCATCGATGATCACCAAGTCAAAAGTCGTATGATCGAGCTTTCTTGTTAGTGCACCAGTCAGAGTCGTGAGAATGACATCAGCATTCTTGATCACGTCTGATACAGCTAGTTGCTGCCTCTTACGCTCCTCCTTACCCAGAGCTCGAAGATCCTTCTGTATCCCTCTCCTTGTGTTTTTATCTTTCGTTTTCAGCAACTTCCCGTTAAGTGCCTTCATCTCCTTTCTGATGTCATTCGCTAGAGCGCTGTTATCTCCCTTTAGAACCTGAGCATCTAAAGCACTGTCCAGCACTTGAGGCAGAAGCCGAGCAGGATGTCCCACTCTCACCAACTTCACCTTGTGAGGAACAAGTCTCTCGACAATGTTATCGACTGCGATATTCGAAGCTGCACAAGCAAGAATCTTTGAGCCGCGTTTCACTTCTTGCAAGATGATTTCCACCACCGTTGTGGTCTTCCCAGTGCCAGGAGGACCGTGTAGTAAGAACACGTCCTTTGAAGATAACGCCTTTGAGATCGCGTCTCTCTGAGATTGGTCAAGGTTCTTGTTAAACGGCGTAAACTCAGCTTCCTTCTTTGCAACTGTTGGTTGTCTCTCACCAAACAAGACAGGTACCAAATCAGAAGCAGGTCCTCTCATCACGCCTTTGCTTAGCTGTATCAATGTATCTTTCATCCTCCGATACGTTACCTCGTTCGCAAGTTTCTCTAACCGGAGAGAAGTGTTTAGCCCTTCTTCCGGGATCTCATCGAAAACAACGGTGATCGAAGAATCCTTAAGCCGATACACTACTCCTTGTGCAAGTGGAGATGAAGCAAGATCAGATTTGTTCAGTTTCAGAACCACAACGTCATGGTTTCCAAACTTGTGAGCAGGAAGAACATCTCCTTTGTTTGATTGGAACTCAATAAGAGATTTCCCCATTAGGCCAGTCTGAACATCAACACATTTCAGATTGAGGATCGTCGTGCCTTTCCTCTGAGCAGTTTCAATGTTTCTTGAAGCTCCCGTGCTTAAAGACATCGATATCTCAGCCTCTTTCTCCATGTCTATAAGTGGAGCCATTGTTGACACGAAGGTCTCAAGAGACATCGCAGATCCTCGATTCTTGGCCATTATCGTGCTGATCAATTCTACAAAATGATTAAAAAAAAATACATAATGTTCAATTGTACTGTGAGTTTAGTAGTTTGGTTTGAGAGATACTGAACACAGACATGAATCACGGAAATTCTCAGATCCTAAATTACGAAACGGCGGAATGAAATTCAAGAAAAATGAAACCCAGAGAAATGATTCTATCAACGACACAAATCCAGATAGCTGGAACGTAAATTGAGCTCGAAATGGTTTCTACTTACCAGAAGAAAGATTTGTTCTTCTCCGGTGATCTCTTCTCTGCGTATCTGGCAGAGAAGGAAGGCACTAGATAGATTGGGCAAATTAAAGATGAAAAAGGAAACCCTAGAAATACAGATGAGGAAGAAGAAGAAGAAGAAGTAGTCGACGATCTGAGTATGGTGGGAGAAGATACAGTAGTTGTGAAGATTCGAAGATTGAGAGGTTTTCCTCAGCCTCTCAGGCGTTACCTTGGGCTTGAATTTTATGAATTATTGGGCTTTCTAAGGCCCGATTTTATATTTCACTTATATTATTTCCTCCTTTTATGACGAGTTCACCCTTGACCTTTTATGTCGTCCACATGGTTATTATTGCCTTCTTGTATTAAATATACAGTTTATTGACTTTCTAACAGCGGGAACGACTCATATCGATAGATTTAAATATTGACTATTTTAGTATTTTATGTCGTTTATTTCTGGAAACTAACCTCTATGTAATGTAATATATGCCCTCTAGGGGTGGTGACTGGTAAGTTTGTAACATTGTTTAAGATCGCGATATTCCACTGAGCGATGACTTTGTAAGCGTCAATCGATATATTCTAAGTTTTGTGTTTGTGTATATATATTCATTTTCCTCTTTCATTACTTTCAGACACAAACAAAAGAAAGATTTTAAACAAATAGAAAAGAGAGTGAGGAGGACGATGAAGTTCGGTAAAGAATTGTCGTCGCAAATGGTACCAGAGTGGCAACAAGCTTATGTTAGCTACGATTATCTCAAAACACTTCTCAAAGAGATCATCAGAGTCAAACTCAAAAACAACCCTCCTCCTCCCCCTCCTCAACATCACGCGGCCTCCGGTGAAGGACTTAGCCGGAAAATGACTCTATATCGAGCTTTTAGCGGTCTCGTCCAAACGCCGGGAAAGAAAAGACAAAGTCCCGGGAAAATCAGATCTTCTTCAGAAACCGACATTGAAGAAGGTAGTGTTGCCTTTTACAGATTTCTAACTTAAAAACAATTTGATTAGAAATCTGTTGGTCCATGTTTTTTAAATTTTATTAATAATATTTTAAGTTCTTTTTTTAATTTCGGTGTGAGATTTCTTTTAGGTAAAGCTCCGATACTTGTCAACAAATCGAATGATGGATTAGAGACGATGTTTTTGATGACGGCAGAGGAAGGAGGAGAATATGAGTTGGTGTTTTTCCGGCGACTAGACGATGAGTTTAATAGAGTTGAGAAATTCTATAAAGAGAAAGTGGAAGAAGTAATAAATGATGCGATTATGCTTAATAGGCAAATGGATGCTCTAATTGCGTTTCGGGTTAAGGTTGAGAATCCTGTTGGGTGGGGATGGGAGGAACGGACGGTGGAGATGACTCGTTTGGCCTCCGATGTCGCTACTTCCACGGCGGCGATTGCTGCTTCTACTCCTAGTAAGTTAATTAAATCCAACAGTTAAATTTCTGTTTTCTAAAAACTGACTCAACGAAAATTGTGTTACGATTATTTAGTCTATTCTCTAGACTTTCCATCATCTTTGGTTGAAAGAAAGTAACGTATAAATTTGAAATGAACTTCAACTAAAACAACGTATTTAATCATTAAACTTTTAGATTTCTATTAAACAACAATACTTACAACGAAGGAAACGGTGGCAAACATACAATTCTAAATTCAACTCCAATAATAAAAAAAAAAAAAAACTCCAACAAAGAATCATTCAACTTAATCTTACCAAATATTATAACCCAAAACATAAATTGTTTGAGATTTGGTCAACTACACCACCAAAACTTTAAATTATACATTTACTTGAAACTCACCTTAAAACTTTTACACCAGTAAAACGAGCGTTAGGCAAAAACCGTTTCATTTTAGCGGTGAATAAAGTAACAAATTTGAATAATAAATATAGCTTAAAATTAGTTATATAGAAGTTTGTGTAGCCAAGTTAGGGAGATTATAATAGGTTAAGATTATTAATACTATTTACTTAACATAATTCCTCCAAAAACAATTCTTGTAACGTATTAGATTATTTCCAATCTATTTTGCTATTTTTTCTCTAAAATAGAAAAACTCTAAAATAGAGTTTAATTTCTCTTCAATCTATCTCTATTTAAGAAGAATATTTTTATTTTAGAGGAAAATATAAAGATATTTATTTTTCCTTTATATTTAGAAGAAAATATAGCAACTTTATTTTTTTCTTTAAAATAAAGGTAGATTGAAGAACAAAAATAATATCTCTATTTTTTATTTTAAAAGTAGAGGAAAAAATAAAAGAAGATTGGAGATGCTTTTAGTACACTAATGCTACAAATTCATTTATAATAGGTTAGATCCTTTATTCTTGCATCAATTTATTTACCATTTATAATGTTTTTTCTAGCATTCTTTTTTGAGAGATTATAAATTGTTAACAAAAAAAAAAACAGAGTCAGCATAAATCTCTATGAGTAAAAAATTGATCTCACTAATGAAATTCGGTTTATTTCGCTCTCAACATAACCGAATCGCCAATTTGAAATTCATGTATCTCTCTCTCGCGTTTCGTTGCAGTGAACCCTCGAGCTCAAGCTCGCATGGAGGCTATACAGGAAGGAGGCTCCAGCAGAGCCAATCAAACCGACGAAGTTTCAGACCACGGCGGCTCCGTCGGCAGAGCAACCGGCGAGGCGAGAACAAGCAGCTCGAGCAAGATGAGAGCTGCGAGGCCAGCCCCAATCGAGGTTCTGGATCACATCAAGATCAACAACATCAAGGAAACGCCTCGGTCCACCATTAAAGGCGTTCTCCGTATCTCGAGCAATGATGAGATCAAATTCAGTAGAAACAATCTGAGGGAAGTCGAAGAGAAGCTCAAATTCGCCTTCATCGAGTTCTACCAGAAGCTTCGTCTCCTCAAGAGCTACAGGTGCGTGCGACTGTATGTTAGATTTTTGATTATCGAGCTTTGAGTTTGTTGAATTATTGATTTTATTGTTGGAATCGAGATATACGCAGCTTTCTTTGGAATTTATGATTGATGAGTATGAAATTGAATTTGCAGCTTTTTAAACGTGTTGGCGTTTTCGAAGATACTGAAGAAGTATGATAAGGTAAGATTTGCTTTGAGCTTGTGAGATTTTTGGGTACTTTGTGTGGTTTTTGGAAGATTTTGCTCGCATGATGAATTGATGACTAAAAGGTGTTCGACGAAATTACATTCACAGATAACTTCGAGAAATGCTTCGAAGCCTTACATGAAGATGGTTGATAACTCGTATCTCGGAAGCTCTGATGAGGTGAGCTTGACGATATATATATATTCTTAAACTCGATGATAATCAACTCCATTGATTCCTCTGTTTTGATCCTTTGTGTTTGATCTTCTCTTATATCACAGCTCATGAAACTGATACAGCGTGTTGAAGCAACGTTTATAAAGCATTTCGCAAATGGTAACAGAAGAAAAGGAATGAACATCTTGAGACCTCAGATGAAAAGAGAGAGACATCGACTCACATTCTCCACAGGTAGAATCATTTTATACAACAATACTATTCTCTGAATTTTATATTTTTTCTTGTCAATTTGTGTTTACGAGGAAAGTTGGTTTCAGGTTTCTCTGCTGGATGCGTGTTTTCTCTTATAGTGGCTCTTGTCGCCATCATACGCACCCGGAGAATATTTCAAAAGGAAAGCCACAAAGATTACATGATCTCTATGTTCCCTCTCTATAGGTAGAACTTTATCTTGAGCATTTTGATGTGAAACTTGTTGCTTAGACGTTTTTTGTTCTTTGTTGCAGCTTGTTTGGGTTTATCGTGCTTCACATGACTATGTATGCTATTGATATATACTACTGGAAGCGTTATCGAGTAAACTATGCCTTCATATTTGGGTTCAAGCAAGGAACCGAACTCGGTTACAGACAAGTTCTGTTTGTGGGATTCAGCATTGGAGCGTTTGCGTTGCTTTGTATTCTTGGGAATCTTGATATGCAGGCAGACCCCAACACCAAGAACTACAAGGCTTTAACCGAGCTTCTTCCTCTTTTCCTTCTTGCTGTAAGTCCGTATATCCGAAAAAGTTTCAGTTTTTTTTTTATTCTATGAAAACTCAGAGCTATACATATAATGGCACTGGCTTGTTTGTTTCAGGCTGTGTTTGTAGTTTTAATCTTGCCACTCAACATTCTCTACCGTTCGAGTCGCTTCTTCTTCCTCACGTGTCTATTTCACTGTCTTGCTGCTCCTCTTTACAAGGTAAAAAACATCAACTTCAACAGCTTATTGATGATAAAAATATCATATTGTTTACTAATGCCTTCCTCAAATACAGGTAACATTACCCGATTTCTTCTTAGGAGATCAATTAACTAGCCAAGTACAAGCTCTTCGAAGCATCGAATTCTATATATGCTACTACGGTTGGGGAGACTTCACACGAAGACAAAACACCTGCAAAGATTCGAACACCTACCAAATTTTCTTCTACATTGTTGCTGTAATCCCATATCTATCTCGCCTCCTTCAGGTACAAAACACAAGTTTCTTTTAAACAAAACATTGATCCATGCCAGAGCATTTAGTAAATTTTCTTGTTGTTGCTCAATTGATTCAGTGCATGCGACGAATGTTTGAGGAAAGAAGCTTAGAGCAAGGATACAACGGGGTCAAATACTTGCTGACAATAGTAGCTGTTTGTTTAAGAACAGCATATGGTTCTGATCGCTACAAGAATCATAAGTTTCTCCTGCAAGTATTAGCTGGTGTTGCCTCAGTTCTTGCTGCTGTTTTCTGTACGTACTGGGACTTTGTCCATGACTGGGGCCTTTTGAATAGAAAATCCAAAAACAGATGGCTTCGAGATAAACTTCTCGTCCCACATCAGAGAGTATACTTCATTGCAATGGTGAGCGATAATAAAAACCATATTCTATCATGATCATCACATAAAGAAAATGGTGTGCTTTCGATTATGTAATCTCCATTCCCATACAACTGATTCTTGAAGTTTAAACTGCAGATCTTGAACGTTGTGTTGAGGTTCGCGTGGTTGCAAACGGTATTGAATTTCGAATTTAAGATACTGCACACTCAGACGGTGCTTGCGATTGTGGCAAGTCTTGAGATTTTTCGCCGTGGGATGTGGAATTTCTTCAGGTTTTTTTTTTTAACTTGGTTTTCACTCTTCACCGTTTTCTCTTATGTATGAAAGTGTATCAAAGTTTATTCGGGTTTTGTTTTATTATTACAAAACAGGTTAGAAAACGAGCATTTAAACAATGTTGGGAAGTACCGAGCTTTCAAGTCTGTTCCATTACCGTTCAACTACGACGAGGACGATGAGAAAGAGGACTAAACTGTTTGCAGATGAAGTTTGAAATTTTTCTTATACATGTTAGCAGAAAAATGAATTGTTTGTAACAAATTGTATTAGTTAGTGTCTCTATATTATTGATTCAGAACCTAAGAAGAAGAAAAAAACATTATTTTTTGTATATATATTGAGTTATGCCTAAGTCTAGTTCAGTTAGGATCAAACATGAGTTACATTTCACACAACCAACGGGACATATTGATTGGTAAATAACTAGAAAAGCATTGGTAAGTTTCTAAGTAACAAACGAGGAAGAGGTTATGGAACAATTTTTGGAAAACCAATAAAACAGTAAAAAAAAGCTGTTGGGATTTTGTTCTAGTAAGAACTATAGAGAGAGAAACTCATGTTTGTTTCATCAAGATAAAAAATGAAAAATTAGAGAAAAATGAAGCTTTTAGGATAGTAAAAGAAGGGAAATTTTCACAAATGTCAAGATCCTCCACAATAATTTGTGGACGAAATCAATTTCAAAAGCACTATTTTAATGTTCCTCAACCTAATAGCACTTTTTAAATACCTAATAATACTTTGCAAACATATCTGAAACAATAAAAATTATTAAAAAAATCATGGTCTCAATAAACTCTTCTAAAAATATCTAAACCTAAAAGCACCTTTTCAAAGTAGCTAAACCTAATAGCATTTTGTATAAATATAAAATAATATGAATTTTAAAATAAACACATCATCTCACATAACTGTTAGATAATATAAATGGTCAAACTCGAAGAAAATCTAGACTCTATTTAATGGACTTTTTGGCAGTTATTAAGATCTTCCGATTCTAAGCTTGATGACGAAAATATGAAATAATTAAATACTAACGTTTCAATTGACTCGGGTACTGAAATTAATTAGATTATTGATCTACAGTCAAATCAAAAGTTGACCATATTCTCTATAAATATATCACACTGGTCCGGTGTTCATGGACAAACCTCTTAACAAAGAAAAAAAAAACAGAGGAAATCAAAATGAAATTCGGAAAAGAACTTTCGTCAGAGATGGTGCCTGAGTGGCAACAAGCTTACGTAGACTACAAGTATCTCAAAACCCTTGTCAAAGAAATCAACCGCTTCAAACGCAAACCCAATCCTCACGGCAATGGGATGACGACGACGGAGACGCTGTACGGCACATCCAACGGTCAAAAGAGACACGGCGTTGGTGGCGGTTACGGTCAGATAAGAAGTTCTTCAACCGTCGTTGAAATCGAAGGAATAACGACGGCACCGATTCAAGTGAGTTCTACGGCGAGGGACGGGTACGAGACGACGTTCTTTATGACGACGGATAAAGGAGGAGAATATGAGCTGGTGTTTTTCCGGCGACTAGACGACGAATTCAACAAAGCGGATAAATTCTGTAAAGAAAAAGTGGAGGAAGTGATGAAAGAAGCTGCTATGCTTAACAAACAGATGGATGCCCTTATCGCGTTCCGCCTTAAGATGAAGGAGGAGCGTCCGGCGGAGATGACTTGCTTGGTTTCGACGGAGCCCACTGAATACACACCAAGTAAGTGAAATATGTTTTTTTTTTTTTGGTCAGATTAAATGAATTACATATTTTAACAAAAATTTAATCTAAAAGCCGAACCAGGTGAATTGATTAATACGTGCTTTTTATTAGTATTAATACGTGCGTTTTATTATTATATATATACTATTTTGCTAAAAGTCTGGAGTATTCTTATATCTGAGATTTCAACATATATTAGGTTTCATTTTTGTTTACTATTCTAAAGTTAAAAATCTGAATGCCGAAAAATTCAAACTAAGACAAAACTAAAATTAGATCAAACAATATCTTGAGCTTGATTGGTAAGTGCTCTAAAATCTGTACACAATCATAACTTTTTTAAAGTACTAAATTTTTTTCCAATCATACTTTATACAGATTTTTTAAAGCTACAAATCTTTTTCTCCTTTTTTAAAAAATTTTTGTCTATAAAAAGCAAAATATATAAAGAAAAAAATTTGGACTTTAAAAAATTAATAATTATACAGTACTAAAATCTACAAAATTAAAATCTACAGCCACAACAAAAAAACTTACAGATTTATTTCTACAGCAAAAAAAAATTAAAACTACAGCAGTAACCAATCAAGCTCATTGTCTTGTCTCTTTTGGTCTTTTCTTTTGAATAACTTCAGGACGTTAAATCTTTTTTTTAAAACGTCGTTGGGAGTTTTTAGGTCATCTGCACTGAAAATCTCTCAATGAGTCTCTCACTATTAAAAAAATTAAAAAATTAAAAAGAGAAGATAGAGAATGAGATGAGTCTCTCATTTGAAAGATTATGAGAGACACGTGAGAGACTTCCAAACCATGTATTTCTCCATAATTTTTTTTATATAAATTAAAATTTAATTATTAAACTAAATTTCACTTGAAATAATAGAATTATATTACATGAGAGACTCATCAATGCAGTTGCTCTCATAGCATAGGTCTATAATTTCAAAATTGTCTTACGTACCCTTTGTGACTTTTGGTTTTTTTTTTTTTTATCTGGCTCCAACATTTCAAATCACTTAATAAATTATGTTTGGAACGACGAAATTTCTTAAACTCATGTTTACATAAAAAAAAAATATCAAACTAAAATACGATATATGAACACAATATATAATAATATAGTCATAAGTAATACCAAATTCGTTTTTGCAGTCTCGTGGTTTGAATTATATTCATTCAACAAAATCGCCAAATTTGAATATTGAATTATTATTTTTCTTTGCATGTGGTCTTTGGTTGCAGTGAATGTGAAAGTTCATGCCATAGAGGAAGGAGGGTCGAGTAGAGCTGGTCGATCTGATGAAGATGACGTAGAAGAAGAAGAATATAACGATACAATCTACAAACCGGCCAATGACATGGGCAAGATGAAAGATGCGATGCCGGCTCCAATCGAGGTTCTAAGTTCCATCAAGATCAACTACGGGAACGAAACGCCTCGATCCACCATTAGGAGCGTTTTCAAAGACTCGAACGGGACAGAGCTCAAATTCAACAGTAGTAATCTGAGGAAAATCGAGGAGAAGCTAAGCTCCGCCTTCGTGGAGTTTCATCGGAAGCTTTGGTTTCTCAAAAGCTATAGGTGCATGCGTCTATTCTTTTGTATTACAATTTGAGATCAGTTAGGTGAATTGTTTGAGTTTTAGGTATCATTGATTTGAGGTTTGAATCAATATTTATATATATGCATGCAGCTTTTTAAATGTGTTGGCGCTTTCGAAGATATTGAGGAAGTATGATAAGGTAAAATTTGGTATAGAGATGAGGTTTTGTGTTTGCTTTTTTTTCTCTTCTGTATAACGTTATACAGTTAACTGTTATGTGTTCGACGAAATTAATCTTACAGATAACTTCGAGGGATGCTTCTAAGTCTTACATGACAATGGTTAATAACTCTTGCCTTGGAAGCTCTGATGAGGTAAACTAAGTTTGCATGCTGAAAATAAAACTATACAAAAAACATAGCATAATTATATGAATGTATGAAATTGCTTCAAAACATGCTAAAAATGTTTTATGCGTCGTTCATGTAATTTTTAAAATTAAAAACTATATATATTACGTTATAGTAACCGTATAGGACACATCCATATTTGACTGTTTGAGATATGAACATGTGTAAATATTTACTAAAAACTATCAAACTTATATTTCGTATTATCTATATGACTATATGCTCATAAATATATCATATACAAGCTGAAACTGTAAAATGCTATATTTGATCACTATGTGAAATACTCTAATCTTATAAAATGAATTTGTGAAAAAAAACATTTTTTTTCTAAAATCCAAGATAAATAAATTGATACTTGTTGAGTCAAAACCTACACTAGAATATTAACCTGATTAATTACTTGAACTCTTCCTAATATTGATTTTCTACTGCTCCTCTTTTGGCATAGGTTATCATGAGACTCATGGATCATGTTGAAACTACATTCATAAAGCATTTCACGAATGGTAACAGAACAAAAGGAATTGACATCTTGCGACCAAAAGCTAAAAGAGATAGACACCGAGTTACATTTTCCACAGGTCATAATAATACTTACTCTCGATATTCTGATAAAATTTTTTTGTCAGTTTCTTCTTGACGCTTATAAAAATGTTTCAGGTTTTTTGGGTGGATGCATGTTTTCCCTCGTAGTAGCTCTTGTGGCTATTGTACGCATCCGAAACGTCTTACAAGGTGATGGCCAGAAAAAGTACATGAACACTATGTTCCCTCTTTATAGGTACGACTTTAATCATTTGTTTGTGTTTAGATTAATCAAAAATAAATCTGTGTAGACTTTACCTCTAGGGCCAAACTTTAACAATATCATATAAATGGGGATTGGACATGTTTTTTTTCTTCTGCAGCTTGTTCGGACTTATCGTGTTGCACTTGACTATGTATGCTGGTAATATTTATTTTTGGAGGCGGTACCGAGTAAATTATACCTTCATATTTGGATTCAAACAAGGAACAGAACTTGGCTACAAACAAATTCTATTTGTGGCATTCACCATTTGCACGTTTGCGCTTCTTTGTATCCTTGCCAATCTTGACATGGAGGCAGACCCCAAAACCAAAGATTACAAAGCATTAACCGAACTTCTCCCTCTTGCCCTCCTCATTGTGAGTCCATAAATCCAAAATCAGCTTTTAAAATCAAAACTATAACTAGAAATATTCGAGGATAATTGAATCATAACTTTGTGATGTATATTAGGCTATGTTCATAGTTCTAGTCCTACCATTCAACATCTTCTACCGGTCGAGTCGCTACTTCTTCCTCACTTGCCTATTTCACATCTTTGTTGCTCCTCTTTACAAGGTTAAAAAACATTAAAACACCAACAGCTCATCAATGAGAGTGCATGTTTTGACAAACATATTATAATACAATTTTATTCTTCATGCAGGTGACATTTCCCGATTTCTTCGTGGCGGATCAACTATGTAGTCAAGCACAAACTCTTCGAAGCATAGAGTTTTACATATGCTATTACGGTTGGGGAGACTACAAAGTAAGAGAAAGCACTTGTGGAAAGTCACAAGTCTTTAACGCTTTCCTATTCATTGTTGTTGCATTCCCATTCTTTTCTCGCTTCCTTCAGGTACAAAAACTGTTTCTACCAATTCAATATTTCATTTTTTTTATTGAATAAAAAAAATTCTAACACTCATAATATTCTCGCAGTGTATGAGGCGAGTGTTTGAAGAAAGGAGCATAGAACAGCGGTACAACAGTTTCAAGTACGCTTTGGTAGTAGTTGCTGTTTGCTTAGGGATGGCTTATGAAGTCGACCACGAGAAAGATCGTCAAAATATGTGGAGAGTGTTAGGCGGTGTTGCCTCAGCTATAGCTGTGGTTTTCTGTACGTATTGGGACTTGGTCCATGACTGGGGACTCCTTAACCGCAAATCCAAGAATCGTTGGCTACGTGATGAACTCCTCCTACCATACAAAGAAGTTTACTTCATTGCGATGGTGAGAGCATGATTTTTTAAAGATATTGCATGCACAACCCTAATTTTAACTTTATAAAGATTAAGCCTGGAGAAGACCACAACATCCCTAGGTATCAATTCAACTTAATGTTTCAAGAGAAGTATAACTGATTCTTTGAACTAAACGCAGATCTTGAACGTGGTGCTGAGATTTGCGTGGATGGAAACGGTGCTAGATTTTCAATTCGGTTCAGTACACTCACAGATCACCATTGCTTTCGTTGCAAGTCTTGAGATCATTCGTCGTGGGATATGGAATTTCTTCAGGTTTGTTGCTCCACACATTAATCAATTTTACTCACTCGTGTTTTTCTTATTTTATTGTAACTTTACTTTAATTTTTATTTGCGTTTAATGGAACTGTATCTTGGTTTTGTTTTGGTTGGTAAAAACAGGTTGGAGAACGAACATTTAAATAATGTCGGGAAGTACAGAGCTTGCAGGACGATTTCATTACCATTCGAGTACGACGAGGACCAATAAATGTTTTCTTAAAGATAACGTAATTCGTAACGATCTTTATTCTGAACGTACGGAGTACGGTAATCTAATCGGCTTTAGCTGATATAGCACATGTCACATGTGTATGTATTATATATTAGTATATCCGAAAAGGACACTAGTTAATTTACGGTCAAATCGAATTGGTCAATTATTATTATTATTTTTTTATTGTTCAATAAAGTTCAACTATGCATGGTACTCGTATACATATTTATAATTTTATATGTTAAATGATATATCTATTTATGGTTTTCTCCATGTAAAAGTATCTATCGAGTACCGAGTTGTCGTCACATTTTATTTTATTTTATTTTTTCTCGTCGTATAGTATGAAATAACTTCTTCTTTTAGCAATGTCTTTTTTTATTCGTCAACCTAATCTAATTTATTAATTGATAAAGAAAGTACAACCTAACATGAGGTAGAAATAGAAAACATTGGCTTTTAACAAGTTTAATAAGCACTACTTTAAAGAAAGCCGAATAAATGTTGGAGAATGAGATACGCAGTGTCTAAATAATATCAGTCCTTTTTGGCTTTTGATGCTTCTTGATGGAACTTTCTCCCTCGATAATAAAGGGAAACTATTTAAATAGAAAAGTATACAAAAGAAAATAGAAAGTAACGTAATACAAAAACTGAGACGTGAACCGTAAAAGTGACGTTCACACACCCATGCTGCCTTACGTACTAGAATATATATATATATATTTATCAATACGTATGTACTAGAATAACTTTAAGACGATGAAAGATTAAAAGTACTATTTGATTATTGGACAAAAGAAAGTGGTAATAAAATATAGGGTACATGACATACATGTTATATTGAAATAGTTCCAAATAGTTATCTTTTAAAAATTTGCAAAAAAAAAAAGAAGATATAAATTACAAGAAACATCAACGATTATACGAATATATACAGACCCGGTTATAAGCTCAAGCGGAACAAACCTATATTTGTGGCCCTATTTTTATTAACACAAATCCAGCTCCCAATTGCAAGAATCTATCTGTAATCTAGTGGTTAGTGTTGTTGTGTTTCTCTTCTACCTGTCTGAGTTCAATCCTTCAAATAATAATAACTTTTTTTTTTCCTTTAAATCTTTTTTTCACTTAACTAAGCAGCTTTTTTTTTTTCTTTTAGGCTTGTGGCCTTAAACATTTCAGAGCCGGCTCTGGATATATAATTAATATATTTGATAGAAATCCCTTTCAAATTCTTTACACACACATATTTAACTTTGATCAACTCGACTTCATATCCATCTTTACCAATATGAAATACACAATAAATTTGGGAAAAATATGACAACTTTTTACGGTCAAAAGGTTAAAAGTACCTTTGATTATTGGACAAAAGAAAGTGATAATAAAATATAGGGTGTATGAAAATATGAAATACACGCGTATTGAAATAGTTCCTAATAGTTATTATTATTAGATCCTTAAATACAAATTACAAGGAAGGTTAACATAAACATCGACGAACATACGGATATATAAGTAATATATTTGATAGAATTCTTTTCACCTAGTTGTTCATTTTTTATTTTATTTTTGTATAAAGCGATCTCACATACTTCATTCTATCTTTAGATTTTATATCCGTTTGTCCATCATCCAATCGCTGCACTCTATAAACTATAACGATTTATATACAAACGCGGTACATGCTACTACTAGCTAGATTTCACACTTGCAACTACTCGAAAAATAGAAAATCTAAATTACTTTAGGAAACAACGTGATATGGCAATAAAATTAGTTGGAGCCCCATCTCTTGAAAAAAAAAAACTATCTAAAAAACACAACAGAGATGAAATTTCAATCTGAGTATTCTACAAGACGGAAAAGCACGATTACACTAAAAACCGACATATTTGACAAGAAGAGTCAAGAGGTTGTCTCCGTAACCATCGCTGGCGGAATACAAATCAACGGGAACGAGAAACTGGTTGCAAAAGGACAACAGATAGAAAGACTAACGACTTAATTAAATCCACATCACAATTTTTCCTACTTTTCCATTTTATACAATCATCTTCAAGTAATGAGGATTCTAAAATAATTTCCATAAAAGTAATTCTAAGTACTATACTAAGTGTCTATATATGTTATATATGTGGTGAATAACAAATTATTAGTCATCGTATATCAAAATCTAAAAATCCAAAAGCTACTATTATTTATATTTATTTCTTAAATAGTCTAAAATAGTTGATCTTGACGTATTTTATTTCCACCATGACGTATTTCATATCGCTAATGAGATACGATTAATCTTGAATATCATCACTAATGATCATATCAATCTACTCATTGCTAATCATTTGGATTTGGAAGTTTATGACTTAAATAATAACAGAGATTTCACATACTTAAAATAGAGTGGATGGATATCGATAAAATCGACTATTTGCCCACCCGAAATACGACATTGATATCACTCCCCACAGATTCGAAGAAACGAAGGTCAAAATAGCTATGTTAGCATTCAATCTTAAACAGAGTTCTTAAGAGCTAGACTTGTCAACATGCAAGTCTATAAGAATAGCTCATTATAAGTGTTGTGGACATTGTTTAAATATTTGAAATGTAAATCCTAATTACATGTTTAACTGATATGTAAATAAATTATATATAAATTTTTAAAAAAACATTATTTCAACTTCTGAAATAACCAATTTTTTTGGTAATTTATGATATAGCAGTCAAGTAGTATATTTACCAAATCTGTTGACAGATCTAAAATCTATGAGAGAAATTGATTTCTTATCTAGATTTATATAGTGTTTGAAGAGAGGAGCATAGAACAATGGTATAACAGTTTCAACTTTCAAGTATGATTTGATAGTAGTTGGTGTTTGCTTAGGGATGGCTTATGAAGTGAACGACGATAAATATCGTCAAAATATTTGGGGATTGATAGGCAGACAGAGCCGTGCAAATTTTAATAACTTTCAAAAGCAAATAAAAAAATATATCTTTATTTATAAACTTTTTTATAATAATAAATATGATTGTCACTTAATAAAAACAATATATTAAAATTATACTAAATTATAGTTCTAAGATTTTATTTTAATTTTTTCACAAAATCGTTGACAAAATTTTTTGTTAACCAATCATGAATAAAACTATTTAAAAATAATAAAATAATTGAAAAAATGATAAAGCAAAAGTGAATAATTTAACCATAATTATAAACAAATTTTGGAGAAACGTTAAAACTTTTGATACTAATAAATTTCTCAATGTTAGATGCACAAATAGATGAAAAGAAATAACTTACATGACTTAATTTTTTCTACCTTAATTCTAACAATTGATTTATTGATAACTTCTATTTTATAAATGTATATATAGACCCATATCCACATTTGAAATTAATACAAATATAATAAAAAAATTTTTTTTAAAAATACTACCTTATAATTAAAAAAAAATAGTTGCTCTACACCAAAGTTTCTTTTAATTGCCTATACACACGGCTTTGTAGGCGGTGTTGCCTCGGCCATAGCTGTGGTTTTCTGTACGTATTGGGACTTGGTCCATCACTGGGGACTACTTAACCGCACATCCAAGAATCCTTGGCTACGTGATGAACTCATCCTACCATACAAAGAAGTTTACTTCATTGCAATGGTGAGAGCATTCATTTTTAAAGATTTAGTTCCTATGGTTTAACCTTAAAATGCAAAGGAAAATATAGCATGGGCCAGCAAAATGCACAACCCTAGTTTTAACTTTATAAAGTTTGGGCCTGGACAAGACCACAATAGCCCTAGGTATTAATTTAATTAATGTTTGAAGAGAAACAACTGATTATTAAATTGAACTAAACGCAGATCTTGAACGTGGTGCTGGGATTTGCGTGGATGCAAATGGTGCTAGATTTTCAATTCGGTTCAGTACACTCACAGATCACCATTGCTTTCGTTGCAAGTTTTGAGATCATTCGTCGGGGGATATGGAATTTCTTCAATTGTTAGTTACTACACATTAATTAATTTTACTCACTCGTGTTTTTCTTATGACTTTACTTATTTTCAATTGCGTTTAATAGAACTATCTTGGTTTGGTTTTGGTTCGTAAAAACAGGTTAGAGAACGAACATTTAGTCAATGTTTTGTTAAAGACATCGTAACCACACGTTAATCTAATCCGTTCTAGCTGATCTGGCACATCACATGCATGTGTACATATGAAAAGGACCCTAGTCAATTTACGGTCAAACTCGAATTGGTCAACAAAAGTCAACCATGGTACTCGTCGTTTAAATATTTCAAATTTTATATATTATTTATATATCTGTTTATATTTTTTCTCAATGTAATAAAGTATCTATTGGGTCGTTGCGTGTACTGGAATAACATTTTATTTTATTTTATTTTTCTCCTCGTATAGTATAAAATAACTTCTTCTTTTGGCAAAGTCGTTTTTTTTCGTCAACCTTAAATTTAATTTAATAATTGTACAAAACCGGGAATTTTAAAGAGTTTTTCCTGGAGAAAGAGACACAAAACTCTTTATCAAAGAGATACCAAAGTCTAATAATAACCACAGACGTCCTTTTTCCCATAATATTTACTAGAAAAGGAAAAGCATATAAATAAAACTAAATTGAAAAGTATACGAAAGAAAACAAAAACGGAGAGACGTGTAAAGTGAGATCCACACCCGCAAGCTGCCAATCCCAATATGTAATAACTAATAACGACTGGAATAACTTTATTTTTTTGTCAACACTTACTACTGCCAATATGTAATAACTAATAACGTACCGGAATAACTTTATTTTTTTTTTGTCAACACTTACTACTAAAATAACTTTGAGGTGATCAAAGTCATTCAAAGAGCAAAAGTATTATTTGATTATTGGACAAAAATAGTGGTAAAAAAATATAGGGTGCATAAAGTACATGCTTATTGGAATGTTCTAAATAGTTATTATTATATCCTTTAGATACAAATTACAAGGAAGGTTTAACACAGACATCAACAAATACTGTATATTTTGTTCCACAAAAAAATAAATACTGTATACATATATTCGATAGAGATCTCTTCAAATTATTTATACACACATATAAAAAAAAAACTTTAATAACTTGACTCGTATCCATCTTTACTTTTTACCAATAATAAATTATGCAATAAATTTATAAAAAAATATCAAATATGCTTTTTTACGGTTGATTTTATTTACTAACCGATAACCATATTTGTTAATTTTTCTTTCTATTTGTACAAAGCGATATCA